TGCCAATATAATTAGATAACTTTAGTGAGATAATTTTACTAAATACTAAATGTATTGACTATATTTAAGATCATTTCGCTTGACATGATTTGCTTGTACTGGAAATGTAAAAATGCAAAGCATCTGTATCCCACTCAAAGACGACGAACAGAAACTTCTCACCTTATTGACGTATTCAGTTTGCTGCATGTTCTTTACTGTATGTATGTTATCTATTACTTTATATGTGCAATTCCTTATTATACGTGTTTGTCTGTATTTGTCATATTTTACTTTCACATGCATATTCACATAAAAATGAACCCCTAACAATCCAGGTTTATCTCATACAAAGGCTTATTATTCAGTAACTACAGGGACTTCAGTGCAAACTAATGGAGCTGTTCTTAGGTTATAGAAGTGTGTAATAAAACCCGCCGAATATTAAATATTCTTGCAAACCAATAAAAGAAGAAATTCACATCAAAAGTGGATCTTAACAAAACAAGCATCAAAATGAAATTTCAGCAAACACAGCAAACACTGACATCTACAGAAGTCTTTGGAGCAGTGCAGCAGCATTTCCACTGTATTTTGTCTTATGCCTGCAGCTACAGAAGTGTGAGGGGAGGTTTGACCCCTGAACAAAATGAGTGTTTCATGTTGTTTGAAAGTGAACAAAACTTGACCTAAAATGAAGTTATTTTACATTTTTATTTTATATATGACTAATTTATGTACAATTAATGAAACAACAATACATGATTAAACTGGTCAAAATGTAGCCTGTTTAAAAATTAAACATGAGCAAATTCAGAACAATAATGATGATGTGAATTCTTCACAGTTCTGTATTACTCTAATAAAGATGATTGATTGGTAAGAACTTGTGGACCTACTGAGGTAGAGACTGTTCTGTGGTTGAACTATAACTCTGAACAAACTTTTTATCTTGTATGTCTGCTGTATATCGTGTTATATATTATATAATGTATGTTATCTGTGGTGGAGCATGTCACCGCTGTGGCAGCAGTAATGTCAGTGGTTCTGATTGAGTCTCTCTCTCTCTCAGGTCTCCTATATATATAAATATATATATATATATATATATATATATATATATAGCTGGCCTTTGGGCCTTGTGCTTGACATGTGGAATAACATGCAATAACATGATTAGCGTTTCATGGTCATTTTAAAAATGATTTTTCTGATTTTCTGGGCAGACTAGATTTACGTGTTGTTTCTAGTGTTTTGGTGATAGACTGTCCTTTATTGTCCACCACACAATCGCACTCCTCTCCTCTCTCATACTCCTCTGACCTCAACAGCGTCTGGCTCACACTTCACCTTTACCCCTCACAGTCTCCATCTGATCACACTCTCATCTTACGACTATCTTCCAGTACACCTCCATCTGACTACACCTTTAACCACGCACTGTATAGGAATTGCAGATCCACAACTGGAGCTGCTGGAGAACCTCAACAGAGGGCGCTGCTGAGCTGTGAGCCGCAATAGGTATTCAGTTTTACTGTGCAACAAAAACAGAACTACTTGAGGGTGAATTATCTGCTTAGATTCAGCCAAATGCTTTAAAACTCATTGGCTGGTCCTTCACTGTGCAGATGATCAATGATCTGAAGCAGACCGCAAAAGACCCTAGATTTTTTAATCTAAAGAAGTGGAATTTCCTGTAGTGGCCAAATCAGTCACCTGACCTCAGTCCTATCGAGTGTGCAGGTAATTCACTGAAGGTAAAACACCCCAAGAACACGCAGGAGCTTCCATAGAACATCACCAGGTAAGAAACTCAGCGCTTGGTGATGTCTATGGGTTTCAGATTTCAGGCAGTCACTGACTGCAAAGCATTTGCAACCAAGTATTAAAATGTAATTTCCAGGGCACATTCATGCATTCATTCTGGAATTATCCAGAGGTGTTAATGGTTTTGTAATAAGGTGATTGAAATGATCTCTTTATTAACTCCTTAAAATCCCAGGCTTATTATATACTAAGGCTTATTATTCAGTAACTACAGGGACTTTAATGCAAACTGATGAAGCTCGCCGGTGGGCCCTGGCCATTTAAGGGGTCAATTGAAATGGATTTCTCAATAAGCCAGTCTCTGCATCTTGACAGCTCTCTCATATTGCAAAGACAGGACACAAATCATGCTTGCCAGGCCTGACAGCTGCTAAAAAATGATTGTTCAGAGCTGACTTCCACCTCACTGTCTGGCACTTACACACTGGTTGAAATCCTTTTTAGATATCCTTTATTTAGATTTATCTTTAGTTAAAGTTAATAGATCACATCCAGCTCCAATGAGGATATAGTTGAATGGAAGTAATGATGTGAAGACTTCGCTTTTATCATGAAGATTTCGAAGTATGAGTGTATGTATGTATGTATGTGTGTGTGTGTGTGTGTGTGTGTGTGAGAGTATATATATGTACATACATATATGCACATATGTGTGTGTTTGTTTGTGTGTGTGTGTACATATATGTACATGATAACTAAAAAAACATGCTTTACTTTTAATGTAAGTCAGTGTAACCAGACTTTTTCCCAAGTCATTTTGGGCTGTTTCTTTTGGTCCATTCATCATGAAATGTACACATAATATAAAGGACAACAAGCATTTTACATCATAAACTGTACATGCATATATATATATATACACACATTTACATATATATATATTACATTTTTTGAATGCATACCTATTTTGCTGATAGCAGAGGCCAGAGCTAGCAACAAGACCTGCATACCGAACGAGTAAAAAGAGGAGAAAGAACACCCCCACCTGTTCCTCTCTGTTCTCTCTGTTTTTAAGAAACAGTTCTGTGCTGATGTCCTAAACCACACTGTCGTATCAGATTTACTCTCAGATTTATGTTATTTAACAGCACAACTATTTCATATTTGTACTTTAAACCATTTTAATAGTTATTCTCTTAAACCCCTTAAAATCTCAAGGTTATTACAGGCTAAGGCCTTTTATTTGGTACCTACAGGGACTTCAGTGCAAACTCTCTGAGGTTATAGAAGTGCATATATATATATAAGTAACACAGTGTGTTGTCTTTAACTGGACACGTGTTTTTAGTATGTGTGTTTCAATTGGTTTTATTCTTATGATATTACTGAATTTAAATGACACTAAATTATATTACATTAAATTCATACTTAGACACTCATTACATTAGATAAGACATAAGATAATACATTTTCATAAGGAAGGAGAAAGTCAAATGTAAATACTGGGGTTGAAAATGGGACACCATGCAAGACACAGTAGAAGACCAACACTGTCCCCAACAGATAAACGGCACTGTGAGAAGACGACTCAGCACTATGGGTCTGAAACGATGTGTAGCTGTCAAGAAGAACCTCACTGAGAAAAGGAGACGGACACATCAAACAAAGAAGCTGAACAATGGACTGACCGCCCCAGAGTCCAGACCTCAACACCACTGAATGTGTTTGATTACTTCAGAAAATGATCAACCAGCTTCTAAGACTGAGCTTTGGAGGTGTGTCTGCAGATTCTTTGAGGAACTGAAAGTGAGTCTCCTAAAAGGATGGAAGCTGGAATAAAGGTGAAGAGTGGACACAGTAAAGACTGAAACACCTGATATTAGATTTAGCTGTTGAGGCTTCTGAGTGATCAGCAGTAACTACTCTGCTCTGTCTTCAATAGTTATTCTCTTAACCCCTTAAGATCTCAGGGTTATGACATACTAAGGCTTATTATTTAGTACCTACAGGGACTTCAGTGCAAACTCTCTTAGGTTATAGAAAAGTGCAGTACAAATTAGGACCTGCCGCTGCGACCTGGCCATCGAAGGGGTTAAACTGTAATAAGTCTGCAGTTGAAGGTGTTAAGTGATAGAGGGGTAACTGCGGTTGAGGTGTGATTTTCTCTAAACTGCAGTTTTTTCCACTGACAAGATGAATAGTGGACTTCACTATAGCAGGTGCAGGTGCTGCGTCCAACCACAAGACAATAAACATGCTGCAAATACAAACTCAGAGCTGCCCCTCGAAGGAGCACCAAAACAACCACTTCCTGTCCACACCAACCTGACACATTCATCTACATCAGAATATCACACTGCAAACTGACTCTACAGAAACGCTCACACAGCCTCAAAGGTTTCAAATCAGTGTTAATGTAAAACTAGTTTAGTTGATAGAACATGATAAAATGATTCTAGGATTCATTTTAAACAAGTTTCAAATGATTAACATGAAGGCTGTAAATGACTGTTAGACATGACCAGTATGATGAACAGAGCTGTAGAAGATGCTGCAGAACATCAGGAATGAAGTTCTAATACAATGAATCTCAAAAGTGTTGATTGACCCTTGAAACAGAAAACATGCCAAAAGGTTATGTAAATCTGTGCTTCATAATAGAGTAACAGTATATTTTTAACAGGTATGATGTACAACCCCATTTCCAAAAAAGTTGGGACTCTGTGCAGAATGTAAATAAAAATAGAATATAATGATGTGCAAATCATGTAAACCATATTTTTAAAGAAAAATACTACAAAGACAACATATCAAAAGTTGAAACTGAGAAATTTTATTGTTTTTTGAAAAATATATGCACATTTTGAATTTAATGCCAACAACACACTCCAAAAAAGTTGCAATGGGGCCTGTTTACCACTGTGTTTCATCATCTCTTCTTTTACCAACACTCTGTAAGTGTTTGGGAACTGAGGAGACACTGCTGTAGTTTTGAAAGTGAAATGTTTTCTCATTGTTGCTTAACATAGGATTTCAGCTGCTCATCAGTTCGGGGTCTCCTTTGTAGTATTTTTCATTTCATAATGCGTCAAATGTTATCAGTGGTGACAGGTCTGGCCTGCAGGCAGGTCAGTTTAGCACCCGGACTCTTTTAATACAGAGCAATGCTGTTGTAATACATGCAGAATGGGGTTTTACATTGTCTTGCTGAAATAATCAAGGCCTTCCCTGAAAAAGACGTCGTCTGGACGGCAGCATATGTTGCCAAAACATGTACATATTGTTCAGCATTAATGGTGCCTTCACAGATGTGCACATCACTCATGCCATGCACACTAATGCACCCCTATACCATCATGAATACAGGCTTTTGAACTGTGCACTGATAACAAGCTGAGAGGTCTTTAGGTCGGAGGATGCAGTGTCCATGATTTCGAAAAAGAATTTCAAATGTTGATTCGTTGGACCTCAGGACACTTTTCCACTTCCCCTCAGTCCATTTTAAATGAGCTCAGGCCCAGAGAAGGTGGCAGCGTTTCTGGATCCTATTTATATTTGGTTTCTTCTTTGCGTTTTAGAGTTTTAGCTTGAATTTGTGGATACAGTGACAAACTGTTTTCACAAACCATGCAGTGATTTCCACTGCAGAATCACGTCTGTTTTTAATGCAGTGCAGCCTGAGGACCCAAAGATCACGGCCAGCAAATACTGGTTTTCGGCCTTGTCCCTTACATACAGAGATTTCTCCAGATTCTCTGAATCTTTTAATGATATTATGTACCGTAGATGATGAAACGTATGTAAAAATAATAGAACAATTATTATTATTTTACAGCTCTAATAGCATTTAGTTTCACTGTAATTACAGCCTATAACTGAGTGTGTACATCACACTGCACCTGACCATTTAAATACATAAGAGGTAAGATACTAAGAAATGTGTGAATTAGTATTTTACAGCACCAATATCACATCATTTCAGCAGAACTACATCAGTGTTTTGGGTTATAACTCTGATATGATAAAACCCTACAATGATTTAACCCCTTAAATGGTCAGGGTCCACCAACAGGCCCAAAGTTTTATTACACAATTCTATAACCTAAAAATAGCTCAAACAGTTTGCATTGAAGTCCCTGTAGTTACTGAATAATAAGCCTTAGCCTGGGATTTGAAGAGGTTAAAAGAATTGGAGTGATGAACTGATTGAGCAGATATTATGCTGTGAGGGCTGGACACTATATAAAATAATATACAAATGTAAAAAAACAGTCTAAAGGGGGGAGGGGCTACAATGATTAACACATTATTTAGTATTACTCACATTTTTGTATTAACTGGAAAATTAACAGTTTATTTACAGGAGTTTAGAGTTTGTTACCATTATTTTTCCATTGCATTATCTCATTTGTTACCAACGCAATTGCCAACAATTATTTAGTTGCAATTTAAATATTAGCATTTCATTTTTAGGTTAATACAACGTAATACAACTTACCATAACATACCATACCAAAGAATCCTTTATGAGGTCCAAGTTTGTTTTTGACCTTTCCTTATCGGTCTTTTCTGCTGGCCGATGTTGGACTGGTTCTTCATGTTGTTGCAGTGAGAACAAAATATTGTATGTCGTTTTTCAGATTGTTTGTTTTTTGTTTTTTTTTTACAGATTTTAAAAAAATTAATTTTTAGAAATAGCTTTAGGAATGTTCCAAAACCACTTGGTCCATTAACTTCCAATTGAGAATGTTTTTACTTTTTTCTGCAAGGTTTTAGAATTTTTGAGACAGTGACAATATACATTAATCAGACCACACTGATGGAAATTCTCCAGCAGACTCTTCAGTCGTATGTGCTGTAGAGGGTCGGCCTCCTTCAGCTCTCAGCGCAGAAACAGTGATGCTGCAGTTCTAGATGGTTGAGATAAGACAGACTCGCATCTCTGACTCTCTGAAACGCTCAGCATGGGACCCTGGCTGCTGCTGTTCTGGTGTGCTTGTACTTTGAAAAGTAAGTCTTTAGTCTTTTTGCCTACATTTTCTCACCAAATACTCTAAACCATGATTTTATAAAGACTTTGTCAAAATACACAAAGAAAGAAAATACATGAAGAGAAAAACTAAATGAGGAATAATCTAAATACGACGACTTATAAATTGTTTTGACACCTGTGTAAACATCTGGATATGAGTTAGCCCTGGTTAAAACGAGTTTCCTTAAGAACTAGTCCAGTTTACTTTTGGGTTCTAGATCTTTTCCCGCAAGACTGTTCTGGAAAGATTTGGTTTGTCATATATTGTTAGAAATAAAGGTTCTGTTCAGGTACATGTTTTATTCATCAAGGTACAAACAATGTAAATGTTCTCTCAAAGGTACAACAGTGGTTTTAAGGTCTGATTGTGAACTTTAAATAAGTTTTTCCAGGTGAAAAGTTCGTATTTGTACCTTTTCATAACCAAATGTTTTAAACAGAACAGTAAAATAAAAGCCTGGAGACGAGACGGGGTGTGTGGAGTCAGTACAGCTTAGAACATATCATTTCAGTGGATTATGGTTCAGTTATGTTCCCTGACTAAAGGTACTGAGATGGACCCTTGAGGGTTCCACCCCAGTGACAAGAGGGGAACTGCCCCAGTGACAGTTTACTACCTTTATTTCTGAGAGTGTAGTTTATAATAACATTTCCTTTTTTGTCTGTTGGTTATATAGATATATAAAAGAAAAAAGCAAAATGTTTCACCTGCGTAATTTTTAAGTCCTACTAAACAAATAAAATCATAGACGCAAATTAAGTATATTTATTTGAATATATGCCTCTCATGCAGTGTACAGTGTACATGCTAATGCAGTAACAATTTGTTCATTTACAAAAATTAAAAAACAAATATTTATTTGTTTATTTATTTTCTCCCTTGCAGCATCTCTCTCGTCTGTGCTGACTCAGACTCCTGGGACTGTGCAGGTCTCTGTTGGGGAACCGTTTACATTAAAGTGCATACATGAGCTGCAGGTTCAGTATTGCTATACAACTACAACCTGGCATAAAGTCAATAAAAGAACTGGACAACTGGCAGAGATCAGACCTGAACTCCACATGCAACAAACTGATACTAAAGTTTGTACTCTGACCATCTCTAAAGCCACCCTGCAGGACTCGGGCATGTACCACTGCACAGGTTTATACAATAAAATAGTTCTGGTTGGAAATGGCACCAGAGTCATCGTCACCGGTGAGTGATCTGAGACATTAACCGTATTTCATTTTACACATGGGGTCTACACCACATTGTCTATTCAGGATTTAAAAACACTTTTCCCTTCAGTTTTTTTGTGTAAATGGTTGTGTTCAAACGCGATAATAAAAACAGCAGGATTTTAACATGTTCACAAAAATTTCATGCTTTGGTTAACCGTGTTCCTCCATCTGAGGGACAGAAAGCAGAAAGCAGTGACATACAGACACGCCTCACTGCCCACTACTAACTGGATATCGCTGCTGTAGGAAGAAAACCTCGTATCTCATTTTTTTTTTTGTTTTTCATTTTTTGTATATTTTGAAAATACCAGTTGTTCTTTATATTGTGTGTAAATTTCATGATGATTGGACCAATAGAAACGGCCCAAAATGACTTAGCAAAAATTCTGGTTCCATTGACTTACATTAAAAGTAAAGGATGTTTTTTCCTTCTCCTGTAAAGTTACCATTTTGAGGATACGAGGTTTTGTTCCGACAACAGTGACATGTGAATATGTATGTTTTTAGTTTTTTTTTTTTTTTAGAAAAACATGAGAAATTCACATTTAAAATATATAATATCAGCCCATGCTACTGACTGGTATAGTTACTAGTTAATGAGTATTTTATCTTCATTAATACTAAAATAGTAAATAAGTTTGAACACACTGGTCAAACAGTGTATTTAATGTCCTATACAGAGAGCATACTTAAATATGACATTTTCTGCAAATTGTTTCTACTTATTTGAGGTTAACATACATATATATATATATATATATATATATATATATATATATATATATATATTTATACGGAGAACACATCTGTACATTTTATGCTGAATATATATATATATGTATATATATATATATATATATATATATACATATAATGTGCAGAAATATGTTCTCCGTAGAGGACGTGTTCACTTTTCTACACTTAAGAAATCAACAAAACATGTCGTTTGACCAGTGACCTAATCATACGACTGTATGTAGTGTCCACCAGAAGCCAGCAGAGCACTAACACTGCCGTCTGTTGCAGATCCTGATCCACCGAGTCCGTCCATCATCATGTATTCTCCTCTGGACGTGTTCGGCCCCACCGTTCCCCTGCAGTGTTTGGTGATGGGTGCTGTTCCCTCTCAGGTCCAGGTCGTCTGGATCATTGACCACAGTGAGCGCTCAGGATGGACGGAATCGAGCTGGACAGAGAACAGTGACTCGGCTCTGGAACACACTCGAGCTCACATCACGCTTTCTGAGGAGGAGTGGACAGAAGCTGCTCAGATTGAGTGCCTCGCCATGTTTGATGGCACAAATATCTCCAGAACTCTGGTACCTGGAGGTAAGAGACCATCTGACCTTCTCACATATGTCTAATGTAAAGGGTAACTTGATTAATCCACCACTCATGTATATTTATTCATTTATTATTTTTTATCAGCTGGTTCATTTTGTATTTATTTATGCATTTGATTGTAGATATACATTTTTATTCAGCCAATCTATCTATCTCTGGTCTATGTAAGACATATAAAACAATACATTCTCTACAACTCATACAAAACGTGGCAGCATCCAAAACAAAGACAAATCCTAGAGATCATATCACTCCCGTTTTGAAAGAGCTGCACTGGCTGCCTGGATCTTTTAGAGAGATTTTAAAGCTCTGCTCCTGGTTTTTAAGGCTCTAAATGACCTTAAAGCTCCAGAATGTCTGTCTGTTTATGATCTTAGATCTGCAGATACTGACCTTCTGAACCTGAACACCTTCTGTAAAATACAGAAAACATGGAGAGACTCGTTCAGTTATTCTGCTTCTAAACTGTGGAGCTCAGTTCACCTTTTATTAGACAGTCAAGCTCAGAGCTCACTTTTAATAAACATCTAAAAAAAAACGTACATCTTTAAATTAGCGCTTCATTAAAACTCTATGTCTCTTGGTGTTTATCTTTTAATTTGATTTGTCATTTTTTATGATTTTAAATTAGTACTCGATTTATTGTTTTACTGTTAAGCATTGCCACCGGCAAGTAAAGTGCTATATGGATAAAGATTATTATTATTATTATTATTATTATTATTATTAATTTCTAAACAAACAATGCTACTATTTCATTGTCACTATCAGCTAATGATGCTGGCATGTGCTCCTGGCTGCTGTACCTGGGCATTGGGTTCCTCACCATCACTGCCGCCGTCACTGTCGCTGTTTGTTTATGCAGAGGTGAACATAAACATTTGTATTTCAAAGCTGTGGCAATATTTCATAAATTAAACATTAAAATTAAACCATACTGCAGTGGTTTACAGGCTGCTGCTCTTATCTCAGATCAGTCTTTTTTCCTTTTCTCGTAGAGAGGCAGAAAGACGCTGCAGCTGAAGGGTTTGTGGTTTATTCAGTCTAATCTATATACAAATGTGTGGATCCAGTTGCACAGAGTAACATACACCTATGAGCTAAAACATTATGACAACCTGCCTAATATGGCCCTCAAAACATCTTGACTTGCCAAGTTATGGACTCTCTACTCCAACTCTGTGGTATCTGGTGCCAAGATTTTAAGTCCTTTAAGTCCTGTAAGTTGTGAGGTGGAGCCGCTGTGGATTGGTCAGTGGTCTGCATGGGCACTCGGACCAGTTATGCAACTCCATACGCAATAGAGTGATGCACTGTGTGTTGCGATGCACTCCCTTCTAACCATCATTAACCCCCCAAAATCCGAGGCTTATTACATACTAAGGCTTATTATTCAACTACAGGGACTGCAATGTGAACTGGTTGGGCTTTTCTTAGGTTATAGAAGTGTGTAATAAAAACATTTAAGGGGTTGAACATTTCTGTGATTTGTGCCTTCATCACCCTCACACATGGATGAGTGCCCAACACCCTGTTGCCGGTTTGTGGTTTGTCCCTCCCTGGACTGCTGTCGATAGGTACTCACCACTACAGACTGGGAGTACCCCACAAGCTTTGCCATTTCGGAGATGCTCTGACCCAGTTTTCTGGACGCCACTCAAGTGGCTCCACAGCAGAATTAGATTCTTAGGTAAAAATAAAAAAATCCTCCTTTACAGTAAAATAAAGCTCTGCTGGTCGTTCAACACAGTTTAACAATAAATGGTCTTAAACTCTGGAGTTAATGTAGAACTGCTGATTCACCCTTTAACCCTGAAGATCAGCACAGACTGCTGGTCACCATAACAACACAAACAACAGCCTCACCTTGGTAATAGCTAACGAAACAGCAAAGAGAGAGATTTAAGACGAACGTTAATAGTTTGGAGATGAATGAACTTATTTGTGTTTATAATCACTCCAGCTGGTTTCCTGATACGTTTCATCTGCAACGAGAAACTGACAAACACTAAAACTCGTGAAGCTGAAGTCAGTCTCTTGTTCGCCAGCTCCTTGTTCAAATTCTCCCGTTCCATCATAAATGATGCAGCAGTTACATTTAAGGTGGAACGGGAAAATAAGAACAAGAAGCTGGCGAATGAGAAGCGACTTCAGCCTCTTAAAAATCAAACATTGAAAGACATTTTACAACAAACTGTTCTACTTTCGTGGAAAAGTTTCCTGCTGGAGATGCGAGAAAAGCAGCTATAGCTGAGCTAAAGCTTAAAGCAGAGCAAAGTAAGTCTGTGTTTTTGTCAATATTTTTATCCTGTACTAGTTCATCAGCACATACTGAGACATATTTACAGCCAAGGTGGCTCCTAAGGTAGTTTGATTTTTGTTAAAAGGACAAAATGGCTCTTCTTAACATTAGGGTTGCGACCCCTGGTCTAATATCTCCAAGACCTTCACATGCACCGTCATTATGAGATAATCAGTGTTATTCGCTTCATCTGTGAGCGCTCATAATGTTTTAGCTCATCAGTAAATAACATAATACATATGAGCATAATGTAGTATTATGACTGAAGTGTTTTGAGAAGTCTGTCTGTTTAATACCGCACATCATTTCAGATACTGTGATGGAGACACTGAGGACGAGCAACAGGGTAACAACTTCTCACACACACTTAATGTCTGTATTTTTTTATTAATATTATAATTATGGTACTCAATCAAGTCCTTCCCACCACAGGGGAAGAAGACACACTTAACCCTAATGCAGAGAGATCGTCCTGGACGGTGAGTGGACAGAATATGAAGCAGATGTATTAACTAATGCTCCATAAACAGCATTAATGAAGTTATCAATTTTTTTTTTTTTCTTGCAGGTGGTGGAGTATTCTTGTTTAGTGTAAACTGTCGGGTCTTCTGACTGAATAACTCACATTTTTCTTAATATTATTACAGCAGTGGTTATGTGTTCATGCACCAAAATGATAAAAGAAGTGAAAGATCAGTGTCGCTATCTTTCATGTGGTGAACTAAACAACTCCATCTTCTGTTTTAGCTGTCCGCATGTTCTGTCTTGCTTTGATTTACATTATATTTGATATAACTTTTGATTGCTTATGTTTTTATCTAATTTTGTCTTATTTCTGAATCTCACCATTACCTTTCATATTCATGCTTGTTCTCATGATTTGTTACATTCTTGTCCTTCTTTCTGTTTTAACAATTGACTGTACATGCAAACCTTAATACATACATACATACATACATCTTCTAAACCGCTTATCCTTCTGGGTCGCGGTGGGGTGCTGGAGCCTATCCCAGCTGTCATTGGACGGACGGCAGGATACACCCTGGACAGGTCGCCAGTCCATCGCAGGGCAGAACCTTAATACAACTAAATGTATACAACTAATACAACTAAATGTAAAGATTTTTACAAGTGACAAACATCAGTTTCACATGTTGACATTCACACGTCAACACTGCTGGAATACAGTGCAGGAGAATAAATTATTTTTAGACATGCAGCTACAGTGGGCAGACATTTCGGCCCAAACTCGGTCTAAAAATTCAGTGCTCAAAATATTTGAATTATGAAATGATATGATGATTATAAAATGTTAGCCTGTTTCTAATAATTTCTGAATGAATAAATGGATAAAATGTGAACTGAAATGAAGCATGAGCTCTTACTGTTCATAATTCAAATTTAATTCAGAACCATAAAACAGACACTCCTCACAGTTCTGTATGACTTTATTAAAGATGATGGGCAAGGCTGAGAACGTTTGTGACTGTGGTAGAGGTACGATCAAGTCTGAACACCTCCAGTTACATTATGTGTTGTTGATTTTCTAATTGAAAACAAAGTTCACACATCATCTACAGGGAACACACTAAAATATGACATTTTTCTGCATATTTTAGTGCACAATTTCTATCTATTTGCTGAGTTTAACATATAAAAAATGTGTTGCTGTATTTACAATATTTTAGAGTTTTAAGAGCACTTTTTCATTTTTTGTGTTGTAAATAGTGTGTATGTGTGCATATATAAGTCGCTGCTGTCGGGACAAAACCTCATATCTCCATTTTTGGTATTTTTCAGTTTTTGACATAATTAGAAAGTTCCTGTTGTCCTTTACATTGTGTGTAATTTTCATGATGAATGGACGAAAAGAAGTGGCCAAAAATGACTTGGAAAAAAGTCTGGTTCCATTGACTTACATTAAAAGTAAAGTATGTTTTTTTCTTCTCCTGTAAAGTTACCATTTTGGAAATACAAGGTTTTGGTCCGACAACAACGACATATATATATATATATATATATATATATATATATATATATATATATATATATATAGTTATATTTTGGATATACATAATTTTCTTCAGACAGCAACAATATATTTTACTCCTTACTGTTGCCAGTGCTAGTTGACATCATGTGTATCTTCATGCTTAACATATTGAGAAAAAGTAAAACTTAAAATTTAAAATGTGCTATAACTTTTTCACAGGCCACATTTTATGTTAAATATGTTAAATTCAGCAAATAAACAGTAATTGTGTATTAAACTGTGCATTAGTGTGTCTCTGTAGAGGATGTATAACTTATTTACACTCAGAAAATCAACAAAAACATGGATCTTTTGCACAGAACTGTAGCTCTGAATAGACATTCTGTCATGTGTTTCTACTTGATGTTCTCCTGTGTGGTGGAGCACGTCGACACCGCTGTGACAGCAGTAATGAAGAGCAGGAGAGAGGTGGTGAGCGCTAAAGCTCTGTGTAGACCAACAGCAGCATAACAGCTCTCCTGGAGACCTGAGAGAGAGAGACCCAATCAGAACCACTGACGATCCTGACGTAACTGCATCTGGAGGCATTAACAACCTATAACCTATAAATACAGTACGTACTGACAGTGACACAGAGATGACAGAATGGAGAAATTTTGCAAGACATTTGTTTGCTTGATTTACACACTTATTTGTTTGTAACTACCGCGCTCTTCAGAATGACAAAATGAACATAAAATCCATCCATCCATCCATCCATCTAAACCGCTTATCCTTCTGGGTCGCGGTGGGGTGCTGGAGCCTATCCCAGCTGTCATCGGGCGGAAGGCAGGATACACCCTGGACAGGTCCCCAGTCCATCGCAGGGCAGACAAACAGACATATACATCCACACACTCACTCACACCTAGGGGCAATTTAGCACGTCCAATTGACCTGACTGCATGTTTTTGGACTGTGGGAGGAAACCGGAGTACCCGGAGGAAACCCACACAGACACAGGGAGAACATGCAAACTCCACACAGAAACGACCCTGGTCACCCAGCCGGGAATCGAACCCAGGCCATTCTTGCTGTGAGGCGACAGCGCTACCCACTGCGCCACCGTGCCGCCCTGAACATAAAATCTAACCTTTTAATGGGGTAAAATGATTAAAATCATCATTTATTTTAAAATCCACATCTACAACTAGATGGTTTAATGACCGTGATGACTGAAAACCTTCATTTCTTTTAATCGCCTGTGATTATGATGGAAAAGGCGGATGATGGTAACAACTGAATGCTTAATATTTAGTCTTCACTTTATTTGATACTGTTGACCATGGTATTTTAATGGACAGGCTTGAAAACACAGTGTGTTTCGAAGAGTTCTCACTTTGGCTTGATTTTATTTGACAAACTGCTACGATCTGTTAGTGTAAATTGAGAGTTTTCAGAAGCTAAAAGAGTGCATTACGGTGTCCCACAAGGCTCCGTTTCAGGCCCTTTACTGTTCTCATCATGGTTATTGTAGTTTTAAAACTCATTAGTTTTTGTTTTTATTTAGCTTTTCATTTTGGTTTTTTGATTTCATTTTAAAGGTGCATTTCAGTTTTAGTTTTGTGTGTGTTGTCTGAAAATGAATAGTTTTAGTTTTGTTTTTTTTTGTATCATGATAAATGCTGTGATAGCAGGTATTTGATGAGGGTAGAGTAAAACTGACACAGCAGTTGACTGAGCTCAGCTCATCTCCAGCTTTCCATAAAGACCAAACACAGAAGAGCTCCACCTCTAAACTCTCATTCACACACTGAAAACTGAAGTATATTTCTAAGTTATTCTGTTTTGTTTTAGTTAGTTTTGCCATGAACATTATCGTTTATTTTGGGGTTTTTTTTAAGGGTGATATTTATTTTTTATTGCAGTTAATGAGCACTTTTGTTCAGTGCTAGTTTTTTTTTAGTGATAGTTTAAGTGAACTGTAATAACCCTGATTCTCTTTGACGATGCTGTACCATCAGACAGATTCAGCAACACACAGAGTGGAAGATCGTGATAAGTGGTGTAAGTGGCCTAGTTTACTAAGGGACTGGATCATTCTGTGAGTCACAGCTCTACAATTGTGTCAGTATCTATTTTCTGTGGGTGGGATCATTGCGAGCCCCCCTACACTATTGGACCCAGTAATGTTGAAATAAAAATGTAAATGCCTAAATAGCCAGAAACTCCCTCTTTCTATATTCTAAAAAAATCAAAAGTATTAGAAATTTTCCCTTTTTATTGTGAAGATATGCCGTTTTTCATTATATTTCAATACTCAATGCAGAAATCTTTAAATTTGCTTAAAAAGTAGGTGTCTGTGTTTTTGTTTGCTTTGATTTGATTTGAACTGTAACATTTTATCTCAAATAAAATGTTTTACTACTGAACTGAGCAGTGCTCTGTAAATAAAGCTTATTATATAGAATTTTCTGATTTTGTTTCTTGATTTTCTGATGGTAGAACTGGTGACTCCATGTTTACCGTTTGGTTCCAGTGTTTTGGTGACAGACTGTCCTTCATGCTCCACCACACAAGCGCACTCATCTCCTCTCTCACACTCCTCTGACCTCAGCAGCGTCCGGCTCACGGTGTACACTTCACCTTTAGCCCTCACAGTCTCCGTCTGACCACGCTCTCGTCTATCACCGATTGTCCAGTACACCTCCACCTGTGACGGGACCACACCTTTAACCACACACTGCACAGGAACTGCAGAGCCACAACTGGAGCTGCTGGAGAACCGGAGAACCTCAACAGAGGGTGCTGCTGAGCTGTGAGCTGCACAGACAAAGGAGTAATAGGTTTTCAACAAAAAGTGGACAAAGAACAGGACCATTTAAAGGCTACTGGGCACTTTAAATTGTATTATCATTCTATTATTTAATTATTGTATAATTTTTACTATAAAATGTAAAATCATGACTATCACAATACAATTTTAAATGACTGTTATTATTAGTAGTAGTAGTTGTAGCCTTTGTAGTAGTAGCATTATTATTAATACATTGTAAAAATGTGTTCTGATTACTTAAAGTCATGTGCAAAAGTTTAAACACCCCAGTCAATTCATATGTATTCCATGTTTTGTTGATTTTCTGAGTGTAAATAAGTTTACACATCTTCTACAGAGAACACACTTAAATTTGGCATTTTTCTGCAAATTTTAGTGCACAATTTCAATTTATTAGCTGAGTTCAACATATTGGGGAAAAAATAAGAACATAAAATCCCAAACGCGTTAAATTGGGCAAATAAACAGTAATTGTGCATTTAAATGTGCAGAAGCGTGTTCTCTGTAGAGGACGTGTTCACTTTTTTCTTTTTTCTTTCTTTTTCTATATTCTTTATTTAATAAGACAGTCAGAAAGAGTCCACACTTACAGACATAAACAATAATAATAGACACAATGTAAATAGGATTAATAGAAATCACAATAGTTCTCGTCGTCTGAACAGACTCTTACTGCTGTCTCTTTTCGTTTCACTTTATGCAATTATTAAATTCCAACAACTATATACATTTTGACAGGGAGTGATTAGAGAGAAGAGTATACAGCGTAAAGGGGAGAAAGAATATTATTTTTTTAAAAAATAATACGGTTTATTAATAATTTAACTTATTTTCACTTAGAAAATCAACAACAGCACGGAATTTGAGCGGGGGTGTGCAGACTTATGCACAAAGCCTTTGATACACTACACGACTTTTGAAGTCCTGAAAGATTAGAAAGACTGGGTGTCTTACACTTTGGATGATTGAATTATTGGGGATCACACACTGAATGACTTTGAAGTTGTTGCTGGACTGAACTCACCGAACTCTCGAAACTCACTGGACACTCACTCTCCCTTTATGAGGAGACATAAATAAACAAGCGTCTCACTGCTGCTGCTGTTTTTATTGCCGTTTGCACTGACATAGTAAAGAAGCAACAGGTAAACGTATTTAATTGTCTATAACTGTGTCGCATGTAAACATGTGTTCATCTGCGTCATCACACTTTGCTGCAGCAGCCCATTGTGGAGTCCAGTCCAGTCCAGAAAGTATCTGGGCGTGATGGCTCACTCGTCATAAGAGCTCATCATTTTAAAACAAGACAGTGATGATCTAGTCTCTGTCAAGGTTTAGCTACAGCTCTGACTAATGCAGAATGATAAGCATGAATTGACATTAACTGTTGATTAAATAAGGAAATTAAAATGTTGATTAGCTGGACATACTGGGCAGCATGCATGAACATCTCTCAGTGAATAATAATCATCAAATATACAGCCAAGCCAGAGTATAACTAATATTTTATAACTGAAAATGTATAAAAGGAAACCAAGGGGAGTCTGAGTGGGCCTGATGCAGCTGATAAAATGAATAATAGAATTATCTTTTACATATTGTTTATTTTTACCTTGTTCTGTTCTATACAGGTCTAGTTATTCTTAGACTGACAGATGGAGCAAACTGTTGTAAAGGAGGGAGGACTATAGTGGGAGCCCTGGGGTGTCAGGTGTGACTGTGTGGCAACTGCAATTGGTTTACATGGCTCACAGGTCAGCTACACTCTCAGAAATAAAGGTAGTAAACTGTGACTGGGTCAGTTCCCCTCTTGTCACTAGGTTGGGACCCTCATGGGTCCGTCTCAGTACCTTTAGTCAGGGAACATAACTGAACCATAATCCACTGAAATGATATGTTCTAAGCTGTACTGACTCCACACACCCCGTCTCGCCTCCAGGCTTTTATTTTACTGTTCTGTTTTAAAACATTCGGTTATGAAAAGGTACAAATACGAACTTTTCGCCTGGAAAAACTTATTTAAGGTTCACAATCAGACCTTAAAACCACTGTTGTACCTTTGTGGGAACATTTACATTGTTTGTACCTTGATGGACTAAAAATGTACCTGAACAGAACCTTTATTTCTAACAGTGTACGAGGATCCCTTTATAGAATTTTGCTTAGGGCTCCAGGGAAGCCAGGACTGGCTCTGAGGGTCGTGGATGTAAAGATGTGATAAGTGTTGATGTTTTTAGAGTTTTACATGTACATGTGCTCAATTGTGCCTTAATCTCAGCTCATTAAAATACTTTGCTATGTTTATTTCTTTGTCTTTGTGCTCTCAGTTTTCATTGGCTGTTGGAGGAGTCCGTTCAGACTGAGTCACTGACTAGTTTACACTACTAGATCATGCTCAGAGTAGAGCTGACCAAATCAAAGATCTCCTACTGGCCCAGACTCAGACAGATTGAGAATCAGGACTACGGTCAGGGTTAAAGTCGTGTAGTGTGTAACCTGGGCTTAAGACTGTATTTGTAAAGCTTTTGGTTCTCTAAAGAGGTTTAGATCTGCACTCTCACCCTGAACCAGCACAACTGAGCCGTTACCGATGTAGATTTTCTGTCTGTCTGTCACGGCACAGTAATACGTCCCAGAATCCTCAGCAGTTGCATTCTGAATAACCACTGGACACTCTGTGTCCTGTGAGTGGTTTTTATTCCAGAGCGGTCCGACAGCGTCCTTATTGATGACCAGCATCCCCGTGTCAGGATTGACCCTCATCCAGGCCACAGTGTAGCAGTAGGCCTTCACTCCGTCCAGCCGGCAGGACATTCTCACCGGGTCTCCTGACCGCACTTGCACCAAAGATGGGAACTGAATCACTCTTCCAGAGAGCACTGTGAATTCAGAGAATCAGTATAAAAATGTTTTTTACATTCAAACAAATGTTCTGTCCAAAATCAACAAACAAAAGCATTTTGTTCTAAATCAACAATCAAACAAAACCATTTTGTTTGGAATCAACATCCAAACAAAATCATTTTTGTTCAAATTCAATATTCAAACAAAACCATTTTATTCAAAGTCAACATTCAAACAAAACCATTTTGTTTGGAATCAACATCCAAACAAAATCATTTTTGTTCAAGTTCAATATTCAAACAAAACCATTTTATTCAGAATCAACAAACAAAACCATTTTGTTTGAAATCAACATTCAAACAAAACCATTTTTATTCAAACAACAAATAAACCATTTTGTCCAAAATCAACATTCAAACAAAACCGTTTTGTATGAAATCAACATTCAAATGAAAATGTTTTCTTTAAAATCAACATTCAAACAAAAATGACACACTTCTTTAACCTCTGAATAGCTCAGCCAGTTTGCATTGAAGTCCCTGTAGTTATTAAATAACAAGCCTAGTATGTGATAAGCCTGGAATTTTAAGGGTTGACATCCAAACAAATTTTTTTCCCCAAAAAAATCAGCATTTGGATAAAAAATTTGTTTTTGTTATTGATCATTGTCCTCGTTTTCTTTGAATAACTGACATCACTGAAAGGTCAGATTTCATTCATATTCTCATAACCATTTCATAATTCATAATCTTTAGCAAGGGTGTCAACAATTCTGGAAGACACTGTAAATATGAACACCCTAAATCCACGGTTCCTGCGACACTGTTTTGGTCTTTTGGTCTCACTGTGTCCGGCGGTGAGACCAGCTCCATTAGTTTACTGGCACCTTCACATTTCACACCAAAACTACTCTGTGACTGAACTCGACAGACTGTCTATCAGAGTATATCTGTAATACTGACGCCAGGAATACAATCAAACCAGTAAAATAAAAATAAAATGAAATAATAAAATAATAAACTTCAAATTCTTACCAGTTTTGGCGACAGCAGAGGCCAGAGCGAGCAGGAGCAGGACCTGCATACTGAACGAGGAAACCTTTTAGACTAAACCGCTAAGAGAAACAACACGTCCACCCCCGTCTGCACCTCTCTGTCCTCTCTGTTCTAAAGAAACAGTTCTCTGCTGATGCACTAAATCACACTCAGAGTTTTTAGGTCACTCTTGAACTCTTTTTCATGTTTTCTCTCCAAAACAACAATTAACAACACATTTTGTATTATTTTTCTCTTTTAACAGGCAGAAGATTTCCTTCTTTTCTTTACCCATTTAGATTCAGGCCTCAAAACCACAGCATATCTCAGCCACAGATAACAAAACACAGCAACACACTGGCTTTGTTAAACGTAACTTTAACCCAGAGACGTGTCTAAAATTAAAACACGATGTGTTGTTTTAACACGTTTTGAGAGTGTTTACTCATTACTTATTATTTATATAATATTTACCGAATAATTCATAGTAAATCCTGAATAATTTATAGTAGATACTGAATAATTCATAGTAGATACTGAATAATTCATAGTATATCCTGAATAATTTATAGTAGATACTGAATAATTCATAGTAAAGCCTGAATAATTTATAGTAGATACTGAATAATTCATAGTATATCCTGAATAATTTACAGTAGATACTGAATAATTCATAGTAAATCCTGAATAATTCATAGTAGATACTGAATAATTCATAGTATATCCTGAATAATTTATAGTAGATACTGAATAATTCACGGTAGATACTGAATAATTTATAGTACATACTGAATAATTCATAGTAGATCCTGAATAATTCATAGTAGTTACTGAATAATTCATAGTAGATCCTGAATAATTCATAGTAGTTACTGAATAATTCATAGTAGATACTGAATAATTCATAGTAGTTACTGAATAATTCATAGTAGTTACTGAATAATTCATAGTAGATCCTGAATAATTCAAAGTAGATACTGAATAATTTCTAGTAGATACTGAATAATTCATAGTAGTTACTGACTAATTCATAGTAGTTACTGAATAATTCCTTGTAGATACTGAATAATTCATAGTAGATACTGAATAATTCATAGTAGTTACTTAAAAATACAGTGTAGATACTAATTTTATAGTAATAAATTCCAATAGCATATTCTAAATTCTTTCCACTGTACTTTTATTATAAACTACATGCTAAACGCACTGCATCATGGGCCTTTATTGTAATTCTACAGTAGGTATCACGTATTACAGCATGTTATTGTAAATTCAAATAAAGGCCTGACGAGAAGTCTGGCATTATGGGATTGACATCAACTCAAAACCAAGAACAAATATGTCTGCAGGTGAACCAGATATCTGATTATATTTAACATAAACAATTTGACAATAGGAACAGCGGTGCGCTCCGTCTGTGACGTTTTCTCTTTTGTCGGCTGAGCACTTCTAGATGAGTCTCAGCCTCTTAGCTGCATTTGAAGTGTTTTACCAGGAGTGTGCATTACTCTGATGGCTTAACTCTAAAGGTAATGCAGTGTAATTCAGTAGGCAGACTGGTTTGGACACTGGATTAGAAAAACCATCGTTACAAACTGAACTGTCATAGCTGGGACTTGCTAACTACGTTGGTTGAGTAGCAGTGTGTGTTGAGAGAGACACACACATGAGCAAGTTTGTTTGTTGTAGAAAGTGTAGATTGGAGCACTGAGCTACAATCAGCCTCAGCTATGTTTAAACAAGGCCCTGCACTGATATGGAGTGCTGTTTATATAGAGGCAGGGGTGTGGCTTTCTCACCTGTTTTGCATATGGGAGTTTTAAAGCAGTTCATATTTAACAGTGGTGGACAGTAATAAAGTAAATGTAATTTATTACTGTACTTGAGTAGTTTTTTGTGTATCTGTACTTTACTGAAGTATTTACATTTTGGGCGGCTTTTTATTTTCACTCCACTACATTTCAAAGTCAAATATCTCACTTTTTACTCCACTACATTATGATAAATCTGTCGTTCCTTTTGGTTTATGTGTGTATAAAAACGTAACATGTCAACACCAATCAGGGCACTTTGTTTTGAGCTTGTTTTGACCTGTTGGTCATACCGACCCAGTGCAGCACACGGTTCAACATCAGTGCAGCAGCGTAAAATTTTGGGAGAGTCTATTCAACATAAATGATGAACTAACCTAACTTTGTGTAAATAGAACACAATATAGAAATATGTACACATATGCAGTTGTGACTGACGTGTCTTTATTCTGAATTCATACAAACACAATTTCATTTTATACTAAGTTTGTTTTGTCTATTTTATGTTTATGAACAGAGACCTACAGATGCAGTTTAGTAAAGGAAAACTAATTTGTGAATCTGAGTTTAAAGTTTTTATTAAACTTAAACTTGTAACTAAGTTCAAATAAATCTTAAACTGAAACTTTGCTTGTTTGCAAAGACACTGGAGTATTTTCACCTAAAATGAGTTAATGAAGCGAGTCTTGTTACAAAAATGATAATAGGACATTAAAGTCATAATTAATCTTTTAGTACTTTCACTTTTGATACTTAAGTACATTTGAGGGCAAATCCTTTTGTACTTTTACTCAAGTGGAGGTCTAAAGGGAGGAACTTCTACTTTTACTGGAGTAATATTTTACCTTGGGTGTCTCTACTGTAACTCAAGTACATGGTTTGTGTACTTCGTCCACCACTGATATTTAAGTGTTATGTATAAATATTATCTATCTCCCTTTATTTCGTGTTCACTGAAAGCCACTGCTGCTGTGAGGGCACAGTGTGTCAGATTCAGGTTCTTTACTGTACTTGTGTCTTCTAAACTTTACTGTACTGTGTTTTCTAAATGAGTAAATTGGGTTTGTGTGCTGTTCAGGGGTGTTTCTTTACTGTAGGGCTGCTTTGTCCTCTAATCTTGTCTCAGAGTAATGTGAGTAATAGACCTACTACAATACCACAGAAGAATATTTTGGTATTTGAAGTATTTGTAGTAGAATTATTTTCCTGAATTATTTATAATAAATAGGGCGGCACGGTGGCGCAGTGGGTAGCGCTGTCGCCTCACAGCAAGAAGGGCCTGGGTTGGTTTCCCGGCCGGGTGACCAGGGTCGTTTCTGTGTGGAGTTTGCATGTTCTCCCCGTGTCTGCGTGGGTTTCCTCCGGGTACTCCGGTTTCCTCCCACAGTCCAAAGACATGCAGTCAGGCTGATTGGACGTGCTAAATTGCCCCTAGGTGTGAGTGTGTGTGTGGATGTATATTTCTGTTTGTCTGCCCTGCGATGGACTGGTGACCTGTCCAGGGTGTATCCTGCCTTCCGCCCGATGACAGCTGGGATAGGCTCCAGCACCCCACCGCGACCCAGAAGGATAAGCGGTTTAGATGATGGATGGATTTATAATAAATACTGATTCATTTCAGACACCACCTCATTTAGAGTACGCTCTTAGAAAAGATGGTTCTACAAGGGTTCTTAGGTAAGTAAATTGATTCTATGTAGAACCATGAACACTCAAAGAAGTCTTTACATGATTAAAGGGTTCTTTGCATCATGAACGCGTTCTTTAGACTGATGGAGAACATGCATGAATGTGCTATAGACAGTTCTATATAGAATCTTTTTAAAAAATGGTTCTATATAGCACCCAAATAGGTTCTTCTATTGATACAAGTGTGATATTGTAACAATAGAGGAAACTTTTTGGGTGCTAAATAGAACCATTTTCAAAAAAAGTTCTTTACAGAACCATCTAAAGCACATTCCCCATCAGTCTGAAGAACGCTTCCATGATGTAAACAACCCTTTTATCATCCAAAGGGTTCTTTGAGTGTGCTATATAGAACCATTTTTGTTACTAAACCCTTGAGGAACCATCGTTTCTAAGAGGACACTACGTTATACATACTAGGCACTGAATAGTGAGACGTAGGAAAAATAACAAGTTTGCAGCTGAAGGTGTTCAGTGATGATAACTGTGGTTTTCTCTGAACTGCAGTTTTTTTCCGCTGACATGATGAACAGTGGACTTCACTACAGCCCCAGACTGAGCTGCAGGCACTGCGTCCAACCGCAAGACAATGAGGACACTGAAAAAACAGAGCTGCCCCTCGAAGAAGCACAAATCAGCCACTTCCTGTCCACACAGACCCGACACATTCAGCTACATCAGAACCTCATAGTGCAAACTGACTTTATAATACTGCACCACAAACGCTCACTCACACACTCGCACACACACACACACACACACACACACACACCAGCTTACACACACTCTCTCACACACACACTCTCACACTCTCACAAACACACACTCTCACACACACTCTCTCACACACACACACGCTCACACACACACACACTCTCTCACACACACACTCTCACGCTCACACACACACACAACAACTTACACACACACACACACACACTCACACTCTCTCACACACACACTCTCACACACTCACACACTCTCTCACACACACACACTCTCACACACACTCTCACACTCTCTCTCACACACACACACCAGCTTACACACACGCTCACACACACTCTCACACTCACACACACACACACCAACTTACACACACACACACACACTCACACTATCTCACACACACACTCTCACACACACACTCTCTCACACACACACACTCACACACAGTCTCTCACACACACACACTCGCACACACACTCTCACACACACACACTCTCACACACACACACACACACACACTCACACACACACACACACACCAGCTTACACACACACATTCACACTCTCACACACACACACTCACACACTCACACACACTCACACTCACACACACACACCAGCTTACACACACGCGCACACACTCACACCAGCACTCAAATCAATGTTTTTAGTGTAAAGCCAGTTCAGTCGAAGGCACTGAACTGTGTAAAATTGCTTTATTCTGAAATTATTTGTAATTTGTAAAAAGACACAAATCTGTAAAACATCGTGAAATGTTTAGATGTGTCCGGAATGATGAAAAGAGCTGTAGGAGATTTTAATGGATTCTTTATTGATTGAAAGAAATATTCAGCTCATTTTTGTTTTTATCTTCACATTGATATGTGACATACATTAAATACGTAAGATCTAAAAGCGTCAGATTTTCAGGCTTAGATTAAGTTCTGAGCATTGATTCCACACTTTACAAAGACTTTTATCAAAGTGTTATGTTCTGTTGAGTCTTCTTATGATCTTGTCCTCAGTTATCGTTCATCTGGCTGTGGAAAATATTTAAAAGAAATCATTGTTAACAATAAATATTGAATAATTAAAAGTCAATACTGAATAATGCCCAGTGAATTATGAATAACAAATACTAATTCATAGTAGATATAAAATATCACAGTAGATGCTGAATAATTCATAGTAGATACTAAATAATTCATACTAAATACTGAATAATTCATAATAGATACTGAATAATTCATAGTAGATACTGAATAATCCATAGTAGATACTGAATAATCCATAGTAGATACTGAATAATTCACAGTAGATGCTGAATAATTCATAGTATACTGAATAATTCATACTAAATACTGAATAATTCATACTAAATACTGAATAATTCATAGTAGATACTGAATAATTCATATAATTTACAATAGAGACTACCTTGTTCAGCTTCATAGCCAGACAGAGTTCAGCCTGAAGAAATGTGTGATTACTCACTTCCGTTTGTTTCGGATCCATAAAGCCAGTTTGGCTACTATTATTATGCAGATCAGGAGAGCAGAGACGGAAGTTAGAGCCACGTAGAGGAGTCTTACAACATGGCACACACTGCAGGAACCTGAGAGCAAACAGAATGTAAAGTGAGTTCATTAAGTCACACTGAAATATAGGACTCTATGACATGGACACAATACCACCAATATAATGCTAAACACTGAAACTAAGGCTGGGACCACAATTAATCTGTAATTACTGATAATCATCATGAAATTGATTAATCAAAACAGAGTACTGAAATATCTTTCTAAATGGTTTAATCAAGAAAACACTATTCGCTGTTATTATAAAACTTTTTCAGGTCTCTTTGTAATACAAAATTTAGCATAAATCCAGACATTGGCAATATATTACTGATATTTCTAAATATATTAGTAATATATTTAGAATTCCTACTGTGTTGATGCATTATAGTCTATCAATGCGTAAATTATCAACCTGTCCAGTACAAAATACTCGACCAGGTTGCTGAAGCGTCTTGTTGAACACTTCTCGGCCGTATTCCACCACACACACACACGCTGGCTGACTCTGCCACTCTTCAGCAGAAAGCAGGAGCTGGTTGATGGTGAACTCCATGTTTTCACTGTGTGTCCATCTAGTGTGGCCCATCACCTGCTGTCCGTCTATTATCCAGTACACTTTCACCTGAGTCTGTAAAACTCCAGTGACCAGGCACTGCAGAGGAACCACAGAGGCAGTGGAGCTCACTGGAGAGATGACCTCCACGACTGGAGACACAGTGGGATCTGGGGACAGTAGAGAAAGTAAAGACTTTAAAATTAGTTTATTAATAGGTATTAATTGGGTCATAAACACCTTAAAAATAGTCAATAAGCAGATACAACACATTAATAAAAAAGAGCAACGGTGACCTGTTGCTTGCCAAATAGTGAGCCTACATTCATCTGTACTGATAAAGGTCAGATCTTTCTGGTTACGGATTTTGGTACCACGTTCAATAACACCACCCTTATAAAGGGTTTATGAAAGGGTTTAATTAGGTCAAATACCTTTAAAAAACATTAATAAGCAGTTATGACACATACACAAAAAGGGCAAGATAAGGATACCACTTTACTCTTATAAAGGGTTTGTGAATGGTTTCAAATGAGCTTATTATTAGTTATTAATTACGTTATTAACACCATAAAAGTAAGCAATAATAAACAGATATAATATATTGCTGTTCTGACAGCAGTGATTTATATTACAATGGTGACCTGTTCCTTGCCAAATATCTGTATTCATCAGATAGAGCACATCACTGCTGCCCTTTTATTAATGTGTTATAACTGCTTATTAATGCTTTTAAGGTGTTTATGACCTAATTAATAACCATAATAAACATTTTAAACGGTTCATAAACCCTTTTAAGGGCAGTCTTATTGTCTTAAATGGTAATAAAATTTAAGTCAGTTGGTTTTCACCTTGCTCACAGGGTGGCAACTTTTCCTTATTTTGTCACACATGAACAGGCTGATTCATCAACCAAGACAAAGTGGAACAAACATTTGCTCTGAAGTTTCCCTATTCAAGTTTTGAAAGCATTATAAATTAGCAAATCATTTCTCATACCTGCTGACTGACTAACTACCATAAACTACATACTAAAGTACATAAGCCAGATGCCAGAAAGTATTTCAAGATGTTTCATTTAATATTTTAATATTTTTTGGGAACACCAAATGGCAACAAAAATGATAAATACTATTATGTGGCGTCAGTGTAGAGCAAGGGTTGCGTGCGACTCTTTTCCTGCCCTGTTGAGGCTCCACAGCAGAATTAGATTTGTAGGTAAAAATAAAATAATCCTCCTTTACAGTAAAATAAAGCTCTGCTGATCGTTCAACACAGTTTAACAATAAATGGTCTTAAACTCTGGAGTTAATGTAGAACTGCTGATTCACCCTTTAACCCTGAAGATCAGCGTAGACTGCTGGTCACCATAGCAACACAGACGACATCTCATCTAGCTAGTAGATAACGAAATGGCAAAGAGAGAGATTTCAGAAGAACATTGATAATTTGGTGACGAATTGACTTCTATGCTTTTATAATCACTCCAGCTGGTTTCCTGATACGTTTAATCTGCAACAAGAAACTGACAAACACTAAAAAGTTGCGAGGCTGAAGTCGCTTCTTATTCACCAGCTTCTTGTTTGAATTGTCCAGTTCCACCTTAAATGGTACAGCAGTTACATTCTGGCACCTCAGGCACCATTTAAGGTGAAGGCATATGATTCCCCCCTGCTGTCACTGCAGACTGGCAGGGTCTACGGAGCAGCGCTAGTAGCTGTTAATGAAGTAATGCTCTTTGTTATTTGAGGGTCCCATTTCATAGGGAAGACCACTACTGCTTGTATTTCAGTTCCAAGGGGCAAGGAGACACTCGAAAACGAGAGGTAGGGGCACAAATGAGAAATGGGATTGGGCCGGAGTCTCACCTTTCACAATAACCCTGGAACCATTGCCGATGTGAGCGAATTTGCCTTGCACCACCACACAGTAGTACATGCCAGAATCCTCCACAGTCTGGCCGGAGATGACCGCTGAGCAGACCTCAGTCCAGCCGTGTGAAGAGGAATGCATAGTGACTTTAGACGTATCGGTCTTGCTCAAGGTCGTGTTCTCTGGATAGGTTCTCAACCAGGCCACGCTGGAACAGGGGGAGTACAGCTCCATGACGCTGCATTTTAGAGTAACAGAATTTCCAACTGTTACGTCCACAACATCTGGCCACTGAGTGACGATGGAGTCTGTAAGAAAGCTCAAGTTAATTATTACAGATCTGTATTTTTATCATTTGCAATGTGTGTAGTTTTACAGTCTGACGGTAATAATTGTGGAGTGATTTTAATCCAGTATGAATCTGCAGTGTGTAGTTTTACAGTCTGACAGTAATAATTGTGGAGTGATTTTAATCCAGTATGAATCTGCAGTGTGTGTAGTTTTACAGTCTGACGGTAATAATTGTGGAGCGATTTTAATCCAGTATGAATCTGCAGTGTGTGTAGTTTTACAGTCTGACTGTAATAATTGTGGAGCGATTTTAATCCAGTATGAATCTGCAGTGTGTGTAGTTTTACAGTCTGACAGTAATAATTGTGGAGTGATTTTAATCCAGTATGAATCTGCAGTGTGTGTAGTTTTACAGTCTGAGGGTAATAATTGTGGAGCGATTTTAATCCAGTATGAATCTGCAGTGTGTGTAGTTTTAGTCTGAGGGTAATAATTGGGGAGCGATTTTAATCCAGTATGAATCTGCAGTGTGTGTAGTTTTTACAGTCTGACTGTAATAATTGTGGAGTGATTTTAATCCAGTATGAATCTGCAGTGTGTGTAGTTTTTACAGTCTGACTGTAATAATTGTGGAGCGATTTTAATCCAGTATGAATCTGCAGTGTGTGTAGTTTTACAGTCTGACTGTAATAATTGTGGAGTGATTTTAATCCAGTATGAATCTGCAGTGTGTGTAGTTTTACAGTCTGACTGTAATAATTGTGGAGTGATTTTAATCCAGTATGAATCTGCATAAAGTATGAAGAAGTTGCTATTTTATGAAAAGTTGCTATTTTAGAAATACAGTCGCAATTAATAAGCAGGTCAGTCATACACGACAAACAGTGAGCATTTGAAACAAAGCTAATATATGTAACATTTCTCATCATGAGATTATTATAAGAATATTCTAACATAATTCAGCCTTTCACTTAAATAAAGTGATCATACTGGTCAACAATTTTACATCCTTCAAGCTTTATTTCTTGAAATAAGCAAGAGCAGTAAGATCATTTTGTCTGTTACAATTACAAAAAATGTCTGAAAACAGATAAACAAACTTTTGAGGAGTAATATTAAATACACTGCCCACATTTAAGATGCTACGTTATTATTTTTCACAGTACATCTTACCTGTTCTCACAGCATGAATGAGCCACAGCAGGAGAGGCCACCCCGACATGTTGAGAGTGCGACTGAACATCACTCGTCACCCTCTAACCCGTCAAACATCTTCTCATGCTGAGTTCGGCAGAAATCTCACTCTCCCCACAAAGATCCGTCACAGGCAGGTTTGCTTTCAAAGCAGCCGCAAGAGATTAACACCATGTTACTCATCTGACCTTCAAATGGTGATACTTGTGATAGCGTGTGGCACGGCTGGGGGGCTGAGATGAAAGGTTATTTTCTCTACGTTTCTGTGTACTTCAGTGTACTGAATTCAACACAAACATGGATTTGATTTTCATCAGTCATCTTTTTAGAAAACCTGAGAAGCGTCTAATGCTGATCACTGGTTTTCATTGATTCCTTTGAATTCTGTTTAATGAGACTCACTTAATTTCTTTATTTATCATTCTCAGAGCTCTTACTGCTACTGACATTGCTAGTATTGACTTGAAGATGATGGGTTCCACTTTACGATCTTGGTTCCTCTCAGTGGTTCTTCCTCTTTTTGAGTCTTGGTTCCTCTCAATCGTTCTTCATCATGCTCTTAGGGAGTTTCTCCTTATAATTCTTGGCTCCTCTCAGGTGTTTTTCATTATGTTCATAGGGAGTTCTTCCATTTGGGTCTTGGTTTATCTCAGTGGTTCTTCCTCATGCTCTCAGGGAGTTTCTCGTTTTAAGTCCTGGTTCTTCTCAGATGTTTGCTCTTAGGGAATTCTCCCTTGTGAGTCTTGGTTTTTCTTCCACGTCTTGGTTTCTCTCAGAGGTTCTTCCTTTTTTGAGTCTTGGTTCCTCTGGGTGTTCCTCATGATCTTAGAGAGATTTCCTTTTAAGTCTTGGTTTCTCTCAGAGGTTCTTCGTCATGTTCCCAGGGAGTTTCTCCTTCTGAGCCTTGGTTCCTTCTGGCTCTTGGTTTCTCTCAGCCATTCTTCCTCTTTTTTGAGTCTTGGAAATTGGAATGGAATTAGTTTTACTTGCCCCTACCTTCTGTTTAAAATGCCAGCTGTGTTGGAGATCGGTAAGTACACCATTAAAGTCTTGTTTGTTGTTAAAAACCTATTGTTGTTACTTAGCAACACATAGTCACTGGAATAACATGGGTGTAGTTGAACAAAACATACTGTTATCAGATGAAAAAAAACAAAAAAACAAACAGATTGTGTGGTCAGGACTTACCACTGTGGAATTTCAGGTCCTCTTAACATACCACTGTTAGCATGTGTTCCTCAGAAACAACACCTGCATCAGTATGTTTTAGTAAGAAAAGCAGAGGAACCATGCCTCATCATAACACATGCACAAACCTAAGATACACAAACCCTCACCAATATGAAAAAGAATGAAAACTGAAACTCTGCATAGAAATTCATTAACAGAACAACAGAAAAATCCGCTGATCACCCCTTACTAGTAGGTTTAGCTCAGGGGTCGGAAACCGAAACATTAAGAAGAGCCATTTTGTCCTTTCAACAAAAATCAATAGACTTTGGGAGCCACAATACTTTATGTCCATTTTACCATCTTGGCTGTAAATATGTCTCAGTGTGTGCAGATGTGCTAGTAAAGGCTAAAAATATAATAGAAATGAAAATGCAGTCTTACTCTTCTCTTGTCTGTCTGTCTAGCTATCTATCTGTCTGTCTATCCGTCCGTCCATCCATCTATCTGTCAGTCTGTCTGTCTATCTATCTGTGTCCATCCATCCATCCATCTATCTGTCTGTCTGTCTAGCTATCTATCCACTAGCTGTCTATCTGTCTGTCTATCCGTCTATCTATCTATCTATCTATCTATCTATCTATCTATTTCTCATCTGAGAGTGGAGCATGAGCTACCACAGTTTAGTTTTTGCTAAATAATTTTAAAAATATTTAAGCAAGAGGGATATTTTATAAGCATCATACACAGATACAAATGAAAACATACACTTTATTTCCAGCACCTAACGTTTATGAACAATTCAGCCGACAGTGGAGTGAATGCACACGTCATAACTTACTGCAGAGGAGGAGGGCTGGTTAGTAAGTCACTGAAAAGTTTGGCAGATCAACACAGACACAGTTAATTCAATATAATTCTATTTTATTTTAACTGGAATTACTAGAAACACTATCTATCATAATAAATACACACACACACACACACACACACACACACACACACACTCTCAAAGCCACTTATGCTTCTGGGTCATGGGGGGTGCTGTAGCCTATCCCAGCAGTCATCAGGCAGACAGACAGGGTCAGGGTCGCCAGTCTATGGCAGGGCAGACACACAGACGTTTACAATTGCACACACATTCACACCTAGGGGCAATTTAGCGTGTCCAGTTAGCCAGTGCATGTCTTTGGACTGTGGGAGGAAGCCCACACAGACCATGCTGCCCTCAAAATAAATACAGTGCGTGGAAAGATGCTGCGTCAAATGTGCTGCATTAATTTTTGACCACAAGCAGAACAGAAAATATCAGCGTGATGAAACAAATGTATTTTACCTAAATTCTATCAGTAGTAAGTTTTTGTGCATAAAAAAACATCCTTTTGAATATGCATGGGGGGAGGAGGAGTTTATTTGTTTACTTTAGCCTGGCTAGTCCTCACTGTGAGCTGCTTATATGGGGCGATTTTACAGCCACCAAGAGATTAAAACAATATGGAAGTGAATTCTGTGACTTAAAAACATTAAATATGAAAAATGTTACATTAATGTTATAAAACCAGGCTTCAGGGTGAATCTGGGTGAAATATCTGTCTGATTGCTGTTATAATTCACAGATGACGTTGTTATGGGAGTATGAGAAGATTACCAAAGGTATGTTCTACTTGAACCTATTTAACTACATAAAATATCCGTGTTATGTTTACTTCCTAAGAAGTATCTACTGAGAAAACTTCACATGGAGGCACAGTGTCCCCAGTCTTTTGATTAGCGCACATCCAGACATGATATATTAAGTCTGAACTTGTAAATTCAGTCATGATGCTACTTCCACAACTCAAACTGCCCAAGCTGGCGTACAGTGAGTGAGATTCCAGCGAGCTGCTGCAGATGGGGCGGGGTACAGCGGATCTGTTTCACCGCAAGTTTCAACAGGCCGCAGCTCTCATAGAGAAAGAGACAGGTGAGAAAATCTAACTCCCGCGATGATGAATCTCAGAAACCAAACAAGCAGGCCTGTGTGAGATCAGTGAACACGGTTTGAGGCGAGTGCGAGATGATTCAGACACGCAGTTAGCAGGTTTTTAAGAGGCAGAGCTGTCTAAGCGTTGGGCCTATCCTTGGGAGATCAATGCAAAAAATGATACTCTAGCAAGAGAAAACATCTTGGGTATAGTCAATACCTCCAATATTTCTCATTATGAGATTGTTTTAAGAATGTAAAAAGATTATTTAAGCTATTTCCATGCGTTGTTGCTTGTTTGAAGCATTTTGTCTAGTGAAGTGTAAATCAGGTGGCAGATCATTTTGCTTGTTTTGAGAAATAGTGCAGATAATTTGCTTATTTCAAGAAATAATGCATGAAAACAAGCCTATGGAATAAGACACATTAGATAAAATCACTGAAAACAAGTAAAAAATATTTATGCAATAATTGGATGATATTCTTACAACAATTACATAATGAAATATATATTTTGACTAGATGTTTTAATGTGCCATTTTCTGCTGTATATCCTCTCTTTTTCTCTCTCTCTGGGTGGGTTGGGTGGTCCTCCCTCTCCCCCATCACTGCTAGCCAACGTGGACGTCTGTTAGCTGACATAACAGAATAGCATTCTCCTCCAAGCGTGTTGAGGTGTCCAGTGACATTAGGTGTGGTGGAGCTTCACGTCTTGGAGAAAACACTTGCTAGCTGTCTCCTTCTCACTTTGGTAGCATCGTGTGATAGAGGGAGACCTAGCTAGTGGGTCACAATTGGCAATGACTAGATTGGAAATAAAAACAGGGTAAAAATCTACATGACATGTAGTTAGCCCCATGCTAATTGGAAGCATAAGTAAAGTACTTAAAGGAAAGTCTGTCCACTCAATGGCCATCTTGGCAACACCACTGGGCAGTTATTTCCACACATTCAAGACCAGATTCCTCTCTCTTTGAATGAGGGGAGACCTTTAAACTCCAAACTAAAGACCAAATTAACTTTATTTGAAATCACTGATAAAATCTGACAAATACAGTATAAATAGTTTGTGGTATTTGGTTCAAATAACACAAACACGTTTTTTCAGCTTGTTCTGTCTACTGAGTACACGCTTATGTGCACATCAAGGGGGAGGTTTTCCACTTGCAACTTGACCAGTCGATTGGCTCAGTTTATTAAAAGGTGTGACTTTCTCCATAAACCAGTGCCATTTTGAATGTTATGAGCTTTCTCATTCATTCATTTCTTTTTCAAGCAGTGAAATCCTTCATAACATCTGTGATATAAGCTTAAACTACTTGTTAGCTATATTAGCCTCAGAGCTCCAGTGCAAAAGTAAAGAAACAAACTTCAGACACCAAACATGTCTCAACTACATTTGGGGAAAAGGGGAAATTGCAAACACTTGATTTTTCCCAAAGTCATTGCTTTAACAGTATATAAAGTTTTGATTGGCTCTATAGCCAATCAAACACAGACTTACTTTGCCCTACTTTAAGCTTTAGCTTAGCCATAGCTGCTTTTCACGCATCTCCAGCAGGAAACTTTTCCTCAAAAGTGGAACAGTTTCTTGTAAAATGTCTCTTAATGTTCGACTTTTTACGAGGCTGAAGTCGCATCTCATTCACCAGCTTCTTGTTCGAATTTTCTCATTCCACCTTAAATGGTGCCTGAGGCGCCAGAATGTAACCGCTGCACCATTTAAAGTGGAACAGGAAGATTCAAACGAGAAACTGGTGAATGAGAAGCCTTGTGACTTTTTAGTGTTTGTCAGTTTCTCGTTGCAGATTAAACGTATCAGGAAACCAGCTGGAGTGATTATAAATGTAAATAAGTCCGTTCATCTCCAAATTATTGATGTTCGTCTTAAATCTCTCTCTTTGCCGTTTCGTTAACTATTACCTAGGCGAGACTGTTGTTTGTGTTGCTGTGGTGACCAGCAGTCTGCG